AAGAGGAATAACACACGGCTGGGCGCCTGGGTGGCTCAGTGGGTTAAAGCCTCTGCGTTCAGCTCAGGTCATGATCTTAGGTTCCTGGGATCGACCTGCATCAGGCACTCTGCTCAGCTGGGAACCTGCTTCCTCCTCTCTCTCTGACTGCCTCTCTGCCTACTTGCTGTCTGTCAAGTAAATTAAAAAAAAAAAAAAAAAAGGAAGAAAGAATAACACATGGAAGTCGAAGAGAAAGGGGCCAGAGCCTGGTTGAGCAGAAGGCCTCTGAGATGGGCTCAATTTAGAGTCGGGATATAAGAGAAGGGAATCTTAAGACTTCAGAGAATGAGTTAAAGGGAAATCTTTCTCACTCCACATGCCTTGCTCCCTAGACAGGAAACCACAGACCCAGGAGGGGAGGCGGCACGCGATCCCATGCTGTGTTCGGATCCCTGCGTCCTGACCTTGACGATGCAGCTGAGGTGAGTGCTCACAGCAAGTTTTGATTCAGCAAAGTCAAGAACAGCACACTTGAGGTTCAGTAGGAGCCTAAGAGGGCGAGCAAAGCTAGAGAGCATGCTCACGGGGACTGGTAAGGACACATGGAAACAGGACTTCCAAAAACTGCTAGTTATGACAAATCCTGAATTACTTTCCTGAAGAATAACTTGGCAGCACCCATCAAAAGATGTAAGGACGCAAACCACCTGACTTAGCATGGCCTTAGGAGGGCTGCTCTGGGGATGACATTATTAGATAGGCATTCAAAGATGGAGGCCCAAAAATATTACTGAAGCAATGTTAATATCGAAAAGATGAAACAACGTCGATGTCCAACAACAAGGCAGTGGTAAAAGCCTTTGTACCTTGTGTATTAGAACAATGCCAAGGAAGCATTAGAAATGACACGTTCAGGAAGACGTGGGGAAACGGGAAGCTTGCCTGGTGTTGGGAGTGCAAGCTGCTGCAGCCGCTCTGGGGAACAGTATGGCATTTCCTCAAATAACTAAAAATGGAACTCCCGTACAACCCAGCAATTCCACTTCTGGGTCTTTACCTGAGAGAACTGGAAGCAGGGTCTCAAAGAGGTATTGCTACACTGCATACAGCAGCATGACTCATGACAGCTGAGGGCCCGTCAGCGGATGAACAGATGAGACACAGCAGGGTCCATCCACATGGCAGAATGTGGGCCAGCCTTTAACAGGAAGGGGATCCTGATGCCTGCTAGAACACGGAGGAACCTTGGGGACATTACGCTGTGTGAAATAAGCCAGTCACAGAAGAACAAATACTATATGATTCCATTTATAGAAGGTTCCTGGAGGAAGTCCAATTCAGAGAGACAGAAAAGAGATGGTGGGTGCCAGGGGCCTGGGGGAGAATGGACAGTTAGTGTTCAGGGAGGACAGAGTGTCAGATTCACAAGATGACAGATGGTAGGGACGGCTGCACTGCCACATCAATGTACTTAATGCCACTGAACTGGACACTTAACAATGTTAAAAGGGTAAATTTTATGTATATTTTACCACAGGAAAAAGAAAGAAAAAGAAACTCTTTGTTTCTAATGAAACTCTTCACCAAGACAAAAATCTAGCTTTTGGTGAAACTAACAGGGAGCTGTTAGACATTTTTGATAGGAGAGGAAATTTTTTAAATTTTTCAGAAGGGTAGGGGCACCTAGGTGGTTCAGTGGGTTAAGCCTCTGCCTTCAGCTCAGGTCATAATCTCAGGGTCCTGGGTTCGAGCCCCACATCGGGCTCTCTGCTCAGTGGGGAGCCTGCTTCCCCCTCTCTCTTCTTTCTCCCTCTCTGCCTACTGCTCTGCCTACTTGTGATCTCTGTCTGTCAAATAAATAAATAAAATCTTTTAAAAAAATTTTTTTCAGAAGGGTAATTTGTTCACATGAGTATGTAACATATATTCTTTTAAAATGCCCACATATCTTTTTTAGAGTGTAATTGTGCTTTATTTTGGGAAACAAATAATTTTCATAATGCAATGTTTATTTTTATCTTAATAATACACAGACATGCTCAAAAGAACAAGTTAGACACAGTGCTATGGACAAGAGCTCTCCTTCCGCCCACTGCTGCCCATCCCAGGGGAAACGCCTGCCAGACAGAGCCACTTTTAATCCCTTTAGCTCTTTCTCATAGGGTTTACACCAACTGTTTATACACTTTTTTTTTTTTTAAGATTTCATTTATTTATTTGAGAGAAAGCAAGAGCAAGAGAGGTCACAGAGAGAGAACAAGACGGAGGAGACCCACCGCTAAGCAGGGAGCATGATGTGGGGCTCTATCCCAGGACCCTGAGATGATGACCCCCGGGGATCAAGGCAGACGCTTCACTGACTGAGCCCCCCAGGCACCCCTGTTCATACATTTTAACCAAGGGATTCCCTGCTACGAATCTACCCTAAAAATATTATCACGGATGTGCACAAACATGTAGGTACAGGGCTGTCTATCCCATGGGTGTTTCTAATAACAAGGAAGCTGGAAGCAACAATTGTTTGGATTGTTTGATAACTGTTGTCCTAAATGTGCAGTAAAAGATTAAGGAGACAGATATATTTAAACAAAATGGCAAGAAATATGAGGTACCTGGGTGGCTCAGTGGGTTAAGCCTCTACCTTCAGCTCAGGTAATGATCTCAAGGTCCTGGGATCGAGCCCCACATCGGGCTCTCTGCTCAGCAGGGAGCCTGCTTCCCCCTCTCTCTCTGCCTGCCTCTCTGCCTACTTGTGATCTCTCTCTCTCTCTCGTCAAATAAATAAATAAATAAACCTTTAAAAAAATAAATAAATGAAATGGCAATAAATAAATACAGATTACATATAGAATAAAATGGCTGATAGGGATTATCTTTGGATAATCGCTGATACTAAAGATGAATTTTTCATTGTGTACGCTTTAATTTCAAAACTCTCCTTAAAAAATATGTGCTTGCTTCTAACCAGAGGGGGAAGACAACGAAAGATCAATACATGAAGGTGCCAGCTTGTAAAATCCTTTCCCAGATTCACTGTCTTAGGATGCTTCTCTTGAGCACGGGGGCACTCAACTCAGACTAGCTTAAGCAGAAAAAAGCCGGGGGGGGGGTGGTGGCAAAGGCCTTCACTGGTTCCTGGAGCTGTGCCCTGTGGGCACAGATGGGCCCCCCAGGCTCCTTCCACAGAGCCTTCACGTGGTGACTGGACAGGGACCGGGCAGACAAGCGCACCAATGCCCCTGTGTCCACACTGGTAACAGAAGGTCTGAAAAGTCTTCGAATATAAGCAGGTGGTAGGAATACAGGTGATTTCTATTTTCTTTAAACCTGCCTGCATTGCTCAGGGTGAGCATATATTAGTTTTCCACAATTCTCGACAGATTTACTGAGTGGGTAGCACATACCAGATGTTCTACCAAATGCTTGCCGAAGGCCTTGGGTCTCCATCCCCACCTCCTGCTGTCTTCAAACCGAGATGAGGTCCCCATCAGAAGGGAAGCCATCCCTAAAATAAAGGCCCGAGCCCCAAGGTCACTCTTCCCTCTCCCCACCCGGGTACAGAGCAAGCTGAGGATCAACTTCTGTTGGTCTCGAAGGGCACGACCCGGGGTGCTTCCCTGAAGAGCCTGGCCCCAGCACTGCTGCCCTCCAGACAGACCAGAGCATGCGTGCAGACGACACTGGCACTCCCGGAAGCGCCATCTGGGTTCACATGGCTGAGGACTTGCGGCTGCAGGACAGCAACACTGAACCCAGGCACGTGGTTGACCCTGGCTCTCTCTAGCACACAGCAGTATGGCGGGGTCTCCGATCCAGACCAAGTCCGTGCTGTTCGGTGAAAAGTTGCAGAGGACTGGCTTCTCACCCCACCCCTGCTGCAGGCCTCGTACACACAGATTCAGGAGAAGCTTGGGTTCTACACCTCGGGGCCATCTGCCCACAGAATCTACAGACCACACCCCCGGTCTTCACAAGGCCTGCGGGTGCCAACACCCCTCCCTAGGCAACAGAGCCCACATTCCCACCACGGGGAAGGGGCTCCACCTTCCTCTTCTGGCAGCCCTGGCTGAGGGAAAGAGTTACTGACCCCGGAACCCCAGCATCCCTTAGCCTGTGTGGGAAGCGAGCTCCTCAACTGCTAAGCACCCACCAGGGCAGGAGACGGGGCTCCTCGCCCCCAGCCCAAGCACAGGGGGCTCCCAGCCCCATCTTCCGCTGTGCTTCAGGCCTGGAGGTCCCACACAGACCCCCAGGTTACCAACAGCCAAGCCCTGGCTTGGGGTCCTGCACACACCCTCTCTCAGCCCGTGCCCAGGAGTGCCACAAAGATATACACAGACGAACACGCACACCTCACCCACGAGAATCTCGGTAAGTGAGCAGATGTCAGTGTGGATGCAAACGGGCCAAGACCTTCTGGGGAAAGCAGGACCCTTTCTGCCTTCTACCACACTGGGCACCGGAGGACGCTCTAGGGGGAGGAACAGGACTCTTGGCCCTGGACACTGTTAGGCTGATGCCCCAGCCTACTCCTCCCCACCTCTGTGGGCACACGTGGGACTTGAGCCCCCGCCACTTGATGTCCACACCGGGGGCTTCTGGGTACCGGGGCGGTCCTCAAGTGCCCTTTCCTACAGCCCAGCTCTGGTGCCAACACGACTCAGGTATGAACATAGAAATCTGCAGACGCACGTGGCCCATGTTAGACTGTGACACATATTTATTGCGGCTCCGGACAGGACGGAACGCTGAGCGTGGGCTCCTCGGCACGGGGTCGGGCTCTGTGGCTGTGGTCACAGACTGGTGGGCAGCTCTTCCTTCTCGCTGGGGCCACTCCTAATGCAGCCCTGGAACATGGCAGAGCGCGGCGTCAGTCACTCAGCCAACGTGCGCCCGCTCTGCTCCCTAGCAGTGGACGCAAGAGGTGACAGCCATGGGGCAGGGACACTGACACTAAGGCTGACTTCCACACTTCCTCTCACGCCCCCCACGGTTTGGAGGATGCTCAGCTCACATGCACACGCACACGCACACACACACACACACACACAGTGTTTCAGATTCGCTTTCTCTGCTGCATACTCAACGCGATAACAGGACCTGAGCTGAGTGCTTCAGGGGAATGAGGGCAGTGGTGCCACGTGGCTCAACTGGCAGCATGCCATCCACGGCTGTGGATTCCCCATCCGGTGCCCCCTGCACAGGTCGGGCCTGCACAGAGCATGTCCGGGCAGGACTTCCTGAGCACGGAGTGCCCGGCTGCCAGGGAGACCCAGGTGCGAACCCACACCTGGCCCCTGTTCTCCAAGGAAGTATGGTCCCGGTGGACGCACCCTCACAGACCTTCCCCGCCTAAGGCTTGCTTTTCATACTGAACAAAGATGGACTGAACGTTAGTGGACAACCACAGGGTACGAAGCAGGGCGACACACTTGTAGGGAAAGACAGTTCACTAGGAAAAACATGCTAAGCCTCCTGCTTCCACGTTCCATGTGAGAGCAGGCCTGCGACGGGGCAGCAGCCAAGTCGGAGCGGGAGGGCGGCAATCGACATGACCCAGTTGCTCATGACCAGTCTACACGACCCCCAGAGCTGTTTGTCCTTTCCGTGTCAGAACAGGGTCTTCATACCGAAAGCAAACGACATAGTGAGGATTTTTCTGGTGGAGCTCAAATCGCACCATAGGGCAAGAGCTCTTAAATTATGTGAAATGTCTTAATAAGAAAGCTGAGAAAAGAAAGTTTTTACCTTGGTGAAATATTTCTCTTCTTTGAACACTTCCCATTAAAAAAACCCCGACATAACAGAATGTTACCCTTACCCCTCTCCTGAAGAGTCTGTAGAAGAAGCTTCTCTTAGTTTTGGAAACCGGGTATCGTGTTTTCTCTTCTACATTCAACACCATATTTTCTTCAGGCTCCACATCATTGATGTCCTTAAAACAACCCGATTCGATCATCTGTGTCCATGTAAGAGGAGAACAGAGAAGGAGAGAGACACCACGAGGTCAGTCCACCACGTTCCGCTCTACACCCAGCTCAGGGGACGGGGAACACAGCCTCCTCCTCCTCCCTCCCAGTGCACCCCCAGAGCTGGTAAGAAATGGGTGCCGGCCAGTCCCACTTCAAAAGTGGGACCCAGGATGGCGAACTTTCCCTCTCCTGTGCAGGGACTGGGACAGCATCGACACACATGTGTGCACAGACGCATGCACACGCATGCACACGGGCATGCACAACTCTCCGGGCACCATACCCAGGATAAACCAGCAGTACCTCGTTCTGCCAGGGGATGGAGACACAGCCCGTAGCAAACTGACTGTAAAACGCGTCGTCCGTGGTGTCCAGGTAGATGCCTCTCACCGTGGAGAACTGCTCGATATCCACGACGTCCTTACAGTAAATGGCCTGCGGCTGTGCACCAACAATGAAGAGGCATTGGCCTCTGGGATTACTGGAGTCCTTCTCCGTCTCCTTAGTGACTAAGAACGCTGCAGGTGTGAAATTGACTCATTCACGCTGTTTGAAGCCTTTCCCTCACTCTCAGGAGCTCTCCTGGGTCACAGACCCTGTGCATGCCCTCTGGCGACAACCCTCCCGAGGCCCTCACCCTTCCCTCTCCTGCAGTGGAGAATGCCTAACAGGCCGGAGAGGGGAAAAGGGCCGTTGGACCCATGGCCTCCTTCACATGACGTGCCCCACGCAAAGTCTAAGTGAAAAAGGGCAGGTCCCTCTTCTTGACCTCCTGTTGGAGTTCATCTAGTGGCCTCCAGCTGCCCCTCCTCTGGGACAGAAGTCCCAGCCTGCAGCACCCACCCTGGCCCTACAGCCCTCAGGGGCAAGCCAATGGGGCATGTCCGAGCCTGGGCCATGGCCCCCTCTGTGCAGCCTCACAGGAACAAAAAACACAGGAGTCCAGCTACCAGCCCAACCATGATCGGGCAAGAGGCACCTAGCAGTTCTGAGAAATGCCCTGCCCTCCTGCTGGAACCTGCCCGGTCCAAAAGGGGACATTCCGTAGGCCACCAGTCGGCACATCTCCAAGCAGCTGCTACCCGTTCAGCCCCACACAGTGGGGCCATGGAAGCAAGTGGGGGCCCCACTCAGGAGACAGTCCAGGGGAAGGCTGGTGAGGACTGCACCAAGGCTGAAGACCAAGAACCTAGTCCTGCCCCCCACCTTGGACAAGACTGCCTGACCCATGACCTCGGGACTTCCCTGTCTTCGGGCCCCCATGGTTCCCCTGGTTACATTCAGTAGAATACCCAGAATGTCAGCCCCAGGGCGGCGACCTGGCAGGCCCTTCCCCAGGCCTCTGAGCACAGCAAGAGGAGTCATTACCACTCCCTGGGGAAGACTGCCTTCCCTGCTCCTCTCAGACCCTGTCAAGTCCCTGGGGTGAAGCATCCCCATCCAGGGGTTCGCTCTGTGTCCTTTGTTCGCGGCCTGTGTCTGCAGGCTGGAGCGAGCGTCACAGCAGCAAGACCTTGCTTTCTTGTGCCCCCTGGGGTCCTCACCCCTCGATCTGTGCCTAGGAGGTGGTAGGCACTCAGTAAATATGTCATGTGTGAACTGATTCAAAGGAAGGCGGTACTACCACAACACACTGGAATCTAAAAACATAGTCAGACCCAACTTGTACAACTAAGGATGTTTTTATCGTACACCTCAGTTCCATCATCTCCTGCAGAATTTTATCTCCGCACTTCTGGAATGTGCCAGTAGTGTGTTAAGGAGAGAGTCCAGACTGCTGTCTGTGTATTTCTGCCTTGCTCAACAGGAATTTCCTGCCTGCAGGTGTTCCCACTGAGCACTGACCCAGGCGGGGCCCTGTGCTGAGCACACGGACACTGCCCTTGAGTCGGCCCCACAGGAGGCTCACAGGAGGCTCAGTGACCCCAGGACTCCCTGTGGACAGCGTGGAGCCCGGACCTTGGAGGCGCAGAGAGGGGAAGGGCTTCCCAGACTAAAGAGGTGGGCATGGTGGTGAGGACACAAGATAGGGGACTCTGTCACACAGAAGGCCTCCAGGACCCAGCGAGGAGGATGTGGGGTGGTGCCGGGGCTCTGAGCACGGCAGAGCCAGGATTGGCTGCCAGAAAGGCTTGGGGGGACCTGTGAGGACGGTGTGATGAGTGGCTGGGGGCTGGGAGGGAGCACCTGAGCAGAAGCACAGCCGGGCGGCACCCAGGGTTCTCTACCTGCTGGAAAATCACAGGCTTCCGTGGACCCATTTTCTTGGACAGCCTGCTCCTGTCTGGGCAACATACTTACATCAGGACAGAATGGCGGCTCTAACATATTTGCTTCCAGCCTCTTGAAGTTAATGTCCTTAAACACAGGGTGAGCCTTCACTTCCAGTGCTCCTGCCTTGCTGCCCAGCCGTTGTTTGGGATTCTTGGTGAGTAACTGCGCGAGAGGCAGAAATGGAGTCAATTTAGGCTCCTAGGATAGGAGAGAGAACTCGGAAAGTCTCCATAATAATAAGCAAAGAATCAGGGGTAGCAAAGAGTATCTCTCTCTAAACAAAGTTACTCAAATTTCTCTTTCTTTTTAAGATTTATTTATTTGAGACAGAGAGAGAGAGTTCGAGCACAAGCAGGGAGAGTGGGAGAAGAAGGCTCCCCACTGAGCAGGGAGCCCAATGCAGGACTCGATCCCAGGACCCTGGGATCATGACCCAAGCCAAAGGGAGACGCTCAACTAACTGAACCACCCAGGTGCCCCAAAGTTACTCAAATTTCAAAGATTCAACCAAACCTCCTTAATTCAGATTTCACAAATTTAGAATATATGAGGTTTCAAAAAGGAGTGGAAACTAATATAATAATAGCCTTTGAGCTACCAATAAATAAAGGTCAGCTAGGTAAACCCCTTAAGGCAAAAAAAAAAGTTCCAGCCATGTAAAAATGAGGGGGCTCTTTAAAAAGAAATACTGTCAAGAACTTCACAGATACCATTTTATTTTATTCTGTTTTTTAAAGATTTTATTTATTTGAGAGAGAGAGAGCACAAGGTGGAGGAGGATCAGAGGGAGAAGCAGACTCCCCGCTGAGCAGGGAGCCTGAGGTTGGACTCGATCCTGAGACTCCGGGATCATGACCTGAGCCGAAGGCAGATGCTTAACCAACTGAGCCACCCAGGTGCCCTCACAGATACCATTTTAATGCTAAGTTACGTTTATAGTTAGAAGCTATTTTAATCAACTCATCAAGTAGATCTCTAAGGAGCTCAGATGAGACAAAAATATGGCAAATCAAGTTTTAGAAATTATAAATTCTTAAAATGAACAGACAGCATCTCTTTCAAGAGTATTCTCTACTCATACTTTCATAAGTTTCACCAAATAGGCCCTTGTCCACAGTTATCACCAGTCTGAGGGGTTTGGCTGTGCCCAAAGCAACACAGGACAGGTGTGGCCTGGAAGCTGCCTTACCTCAGCAAGGAGCTTTTAGCACAACACAGGCTGGTCTGTGCTGTTGCCTTACCGTGCAGAGCCCAACAGCTGTGTGAGGGACCTGCCAAGCCTAAGTATCTGGCCACTCAGAGAGAAGTCTGCCCACCTTGGCCTTGCCTCACGGCCCGCACCCACCGCTCTTCTGTAGAGAAACCAAAGTCGCAGGCACAGGGCTGAGCACGTTCTGCATCTGGCACGTGTGCACCAGCCTGCACGCTCCTGCAGCCTTTGCTGGGTGGACTCTGGATGCAGCACACACCCTCCCCTTCTCACCTCCTTGACGGTACACATACCATGCCCTCTGTCTAGAATACCCTTCGCCTGGTTGTGATGCCATCACCTGGTTGAGTGCTCAGGGCCAGTCCCTCCTGTAGGACCCAAGCCTCCAGAGGCAGGGCCATGGACTTCCCACTGGCTGCTGTAGCCCCCGCACCTCACCAGGCAAGGGCTCAACAAGATTTGCTCAGTGGGGTCTTCTTGGCATGCTTTGCTCATTAAAAACAGACATGAGAATTCCGTGTGATGCCAAACACAATCCCTAGAGCCCAGGGGCTCTAGGACTCCATCATCAACCCTGCTGCTAACGTACCCCTTCGGAAGGCCTTGGACTTATGATCAGAACGCCTGGGTTCAAGTTGGCCCATTGACACTCCATTATGGGATGTCACAGAAATCACACTCTGAGGGCGCCTGGGTGAGTCGGTTAAGCCGCCAACTCTTGATTTCAGCTCAGGTCATGATCTTAGGGCTGGGGGCTCCGTGCTCAGTGGGGAGTCTGCTTATCTCTCTTCCTCTGCCCCTCCCCACACTCATGCACACCCACACTCTCTCTCTCTCTAAAAATCTTTTTTTTTAAAAATCACATTTTTAATTTTCCAACTGTGAGGCTAAGAAAACCCCTTAGAAGTCCACTCTGAGGGTCAGATGAGATAACCTATCAAAGAGCTTTCCAAACTACAGACAGGTGTCCACACGTCAGGAGCCGCTCTGGCCGCCTGTTTAGGTCCTTGTAAAGAGCCGGCCAGTCATACCCACTCCCGCATCAGCCCTTCCCAGCGAGCCTATGAGGATGAGGCTATCACCATGCACACGTCAGACAAGAAACCAGAGGCTAGACAGGGAAGTCGGGCACGGGGAGCTGAGATGTGGCCCCTGAGCTCCAAGGCCCAGCCCTGGTTCTCACCCAGGCACTGCCTGCTTTCCCTAGCACCCTAACCAGAACACAGCATCTCCCCATTCTGAAAACCTTTGAGCCTTTGTTTCTCTCTCGTTAATGGCACCCCTCAAATTCTGCTTTTTCACTATAGTTATTTTTCGTGTTTGTTCTAGGCCTGCCATTGAACTGTGAGCTCCTTGGAGGCAGGCTTTACTTCCAACTTCTATCTTCCTGTAGCCCTTATCAGAGTATCCGGCAGGTGGCCAGCATGTGGTGGAATAGCAACATGGCCCAAATGCTGTTAACCTTGGAGGAGCTGGCTAAGAACTGACAGCTCCACGCAGAATGAGCAGATGGGAGGGAAGGCCAGCCTGGTCCCCCGGCTTGTGACAGGCCACTAACACTCATCACTCCACATTTGGCACCAACAGGGAAGGGGAAACAAAATCTCTATCTCCAGCCACCGACAACTCACCTAAGTTACTGACGTTTTCAGTAATGGGTACAGCAGCTGGAGGTTCCAGCAGGCAACCACTTGGGGACCTATGGCCTGCCTCTCCGTGGCCTCCGTGCCCCCCATCTCCTCCACTCTCCCCCTTGACTCTTCATGACCAGCCACCCTTGCTTTCCTCTCCGTGTGCTCCCAACTCTCCAACTCTGGCGAGAGGGGCCATGGCTCCAACAAGTGCTCACACCTTTGCCTCCAGCCTCCTGACTCTGTCCTGAGCCCCTCTTCCACATCCTCCCATAACCCACGATGATTCTGGCCCCCATCGTTCAACCACTGCTCTGCCTGCCCCCAGCCCCACAGCCTCCGTCCTCTTCTCCCCGCTGTGACACACAGCCTCATGGGGCCCTTAACGCATCCAGAAAAATGGGAGACACGTGGCGGCCCATCAAGTTGGGGTGTCTATCATGACCACGACCCCTGGCAGCCAGTTAAAGAGGACAAAACAAAGAAACATGGGCAGAAGGAAAAACCTCACTCTTCCTAAGAAACAAGGTTCTGTTTGATCTTCAGTTTCACAGGAAATGAGTGACCTTGGCACCACTCTTCTCTCTCAGGAGAATCTTTTGAGAAATCAAATAAGGTACTTCTCCACTTTGCTTCCATTGGTTGGAAACCCGATCACGTCATTTCCTGGTGAGGACCAGTGCAGAGACTGTTAGGGGAAACAACCCCATAAGCTAGGGGTTCCATGCCGACCTCCCCAGAGCCCGACCCACCATCTTGCAGAAGGACTTGGCATCCTCCGAAAACTTCTCCGAATACTGCTCCGTGTCCTTCCTCACTCTTCGGTCCACCTCCTCTCGCTTGACTTTCTCTTTGAATTTTCTGAATGGAGAATGTCCCTCAATCATTTCATACATCAGACAGCCAAGTCCCCACCAATCAGGACTAAATGTATAGTGTTCATTATTGATAACTTCAGGAGCTACATAACAAATACAGGGAAATTTAAATTAAATTTTGGTTTTAAATTTTCTTGTAATTAATTCCAAATAACACATTATAAAATTAATGTTTGTTACAACATGAACCCTGGAAATGTGTTAAGGGGCAGAAGACAGACACAGAAGGCCCAAGAGTATGAGATCCTATTTATATGAAGCAGGTAGAAGAGACAGTCCGTGGAGACAGAAAGGGGGCGAGCAGCCACAGGCCTGGGGCTGGAGGGGTGCTCATGGGCCCAGGGTCTCTTTCTGGGGGTGGTAGTCGCACAGCTCTGTGTGCATGCTGATCTCCACTCACGGGTACACTTCAGAGTGGTGGATTTTAGAGCATGTCACTTATAGTCAACAAAGGGGTCACAGGAAACAGTCTGTGCTATCCCCAGGGCACGAAATGAGCAGGCACAGAGCCACACCCACGGGTGCCCCAAGGGCACCGACCCCTGCAACAGGTGGTGCAGGGATGTGACTGCAGTACTCTGCAGAGGCCCTCGGTGTCCCTCATATCAGAGGCCATGCCTGGTCAGGCTAGCACTGCCAGGTGGGGAGCTGACCCCATACGAGGGCCACCCAGTCACAGAGGCTTTGCAAGAACCAGGGAACCATGGGTGTGGAAGGGCCTGGAGAGACCGGTGAGCCCAGGACGGTGGCAGCAGCAGAGCGAGGGCCCCATCCTGCCCTGATTCTGCCCTCACTCAGCTGCATGACCTCTGCCGGCCTCACCCCGGTCTCTGTAAGACAGGAGGGCAGACAGGAGGACTCCTCAGGAGTCCCAGCTCTGGCCAGGTACAAACTTCCAACACCCGTGCTCCCTCCAAGGGGCTTAGAACTTCTCTGTGCTGTGAGGACGTGGGCACCCCAAGATAAAGTGCAAGTATCCAGAAGCAGCCGTTCACATACCCATGTAGCCGACAGTCCCCACTCTTCCTCGGATGGTCTCCCCTTCCGGGATCTCCATGGCCAAACCCAGGTCTGAGATCCGGATGTGCCCTGTGTGTGTTCAAGCATATTACAAACCACAGGGGCATGCTGACACATTCAGGACAATAAACAGTAGAGAAAAAAATCTAAAATTACATCTAACTTCTCCACAATTCCTAAAATACTATGCAGAGCGTTCGGGTCCACTAACACAACAGGAAATCAGATTTATAGCTGGTTACTAATCAGGAAGCCCCTTAACCATGACAACCACTTGGTAAGATAGAAGCTTTGCGTTTATTATTTAATTTCCTATAACTACCAGAGCCATAAATAGAACTGAATAATAATGAATAGTACATGAACTACACAAGAGAAAATAAGCACTTTCTGTCAGAATACCAGTAGGCTTATATACAGGAACAGCAGATGAATAATAAGGAGCTTTTCTCCGAAGAATAAATCATAGTAAAATCATAAATAAAATAAAAAAAAACTCACTGAAAGACTTCTGTTATGTTTTAATGCCTTTATATAGAAAGATTTAAATGGTTACTAAATTCAGTATGAAAATAACAGATTATAGAAAACTTTCTTTTGAGAGTCTGGAAAGATAAACCAGCCCTGGAGGCAGATGCCCTGCTCACCTTATTGGCCATGTGTCTCCAGCTCCTGACACCCTACCTACATATAGTAGGTGCTCAATAAATATTGAAGAAATGAATGAACCAACCAATAAGTATGTTCTCAACACTGAAAATCCACAACATGCCATTCAAGGCACTGATTTTGCTTTAACACAGGCTGCATTATGCCTCAGACAGGAAAACTGACCTTGTCCTTTGCAAGGCGGTACTGAGTCACATTACTCCCAGCCGTGCGCCTGCACTGGGGGAGGCACCAGGCTGGAGCCCTAGGAGCAGAGTCTGGAACCACACGGCCTTGGGTTTGAGTCCCAGCTCTGCCATTGGTCAGTGTGTCTAAGTTTCCTACTTTCATATAGGAAGATTTCCTCAATAAGTCAGATTTCCCATATGTTATGTTTGAGTACTGGCATGTTGTGAAATTTTAAGTATCCTTTCTTATTTTTCTTTTTTTTTTAAAGATTTTATTTATTTATTTGAGAGCGAGACAGTGAGAGAGAGCATGAGTGAGGAGAAGGTCAGAGGGAGAAGCAGACTCCCCATGGAGCTGGGAGCCCGATGTGGGACTCCATCCCGGGACTCCGGGATCATGACCTGAACTGAAGGCAGTCGTCCAACCAACTGAGCCACCCAGGTGTCCCTTATTTTTCTTTTGAAAAGTGATTTTTTTCCACTGAGAAATGAAAAGTAAAACTACCAACAAACTGACAAGAGACTCAGTTTGAGCATGCAGTCTGTGGCTGGGGTCCTGGGGAAGCAGGGGCACGGGGTGTGCGCACAGACCAGCATCGCTCCACCTCAGGGAGTTTCGCAATGTTTGCGAACCCCTTGTGAACCTATCCTTCAACCTCAACACGCCTCCAGGGACACCAGCAAAAAAAGCAGGAAATGACATGCCCAGAGGGCCAGGCGTGGCCCCACTAAACTGGAAGAACAGAGGGCTGGAACAGCCCCCTAGCGGGCAGTGTGGACCCGGCAGTTCAAGCCAGTCCATCCACAGGCAGCTGGAAGAAACAAGCAAGATGTCTCTCTATTCAGTGTTGTAGATTAGTCTATGTTACATATTTTAAAAGCAGAGAAAAATACTGTAATGATGCAAATGTCAGGGAGGAGGAACTTATGAAAATTAAAACTCGACAAGATATCAACCAAATGGAATATGAACTTCATCTACATTTGACACACAACTATAAAAACACTTACGAAATAATTAAGGAAGATTTAAAGCTGATGGGAGGGGCAGAGGGAGATGGAGAGAGAATCTTAAGCAGGGTCCACACTCAGCACAGAGCCCGATGCAGGGCTCAATCTCAGAACCCTGAGATCATGACCTAAGCCAAAATCAAGAGTCGGACGCTTAACCAACTGAGCCACACAGGTGCCCCAAAGAATTGTTAAATACTTTTCGATGTGATAAAAGTATTGGGCTTATGTTTTAAAAATAGTATCCTTATCTTTGATATATATTTTATAGATAGAAGAATATGACATATAGGATTTCCTTTAAAATCATTGTCGATAATAAAATGCTACTAGTCTTTACAAGGATTCACTGCTCATCCTGCTTTTTAGGAATATACCTATTTCATAAAACTGAAGTCTCTTGAATAGAGAATATAGGCATGATAGTTTTCTTTTTTATCTCAACTACCAGTTAAATTTCACAAACCAAGTCCCACTTAATTTATGTTTTCAAAAAAAAAGGGGCTGACATATTCAGGATGGACAAACAGTAAATGTACCTAAAAACCCAAAACAGACGATAATCAGTTTTTAAAAGATTTTATTTATTTCTTTTTGAGAGAGCGAGCAAGCCCAGAGGTATGGGGAGGGGGAGAGACGTAGACTATTTGCCAAGCAGAGAGCTGGACACAAGGCTCGATCCCAGGACACTGAGGTCATGACCTGAGCTGAAGGCAGACACTTAACCAACTGAGCCACCCGGGGGGCCCAACCAGCCTTTTTTAATTTAAATTTTATTTTAACTCTGGTATAGTTAACACAGTGTTGTGTTAATTTCGAGTGTACAACATGGTGATTCAACATTTCCATATGTTACTCAGGGCTCATCACGATAAGTGTCCTCTTCATTCCCCTCACCTGTTTCACCCATTCCCCCACCACCTCTCTCTGGTGACCTTCAGTTTTCTCTAGAGTTAAGAGTCTGTCTTTTGGTTTTTCTCGTTTTTTTTTTTTTCTTGGTTTATTTGTTTTGTTTCCTAAATTCCATGTATGAGTGAAATCATATGGTTTGTTTTTCCTTGACTAACTTATTTCATTTAGCATTATACTCTCTAAATCCATCCAAATTGTTGCAAATGGCAAGATTTCATTCTTTTTATGGCTGAATAATATTCCATCAAATATATATATATCACCTCTTCTTTATGCATTCATCAGTCAATGGACCCTTAGGCTGCCTCCATAGTCTGGCTATTATAAATAATGCTGCAATAAACATAGGGATGTATGTATTCCTTTGAACTCATGCTCTCATATTCTTTGGGTAAGTACCCAGTAGTGTGATTATTGGATCATATAGTATTTCTACTTTTAATTTTTTGAGGAACATCCATACTGTCTTCCACAGTGGCCACATCTGTTTACATTTCCACCAACAGTGCATGAGGGTTCCTTTTTCTCTGCATTCTCACCAACACTTGTTCTTTATTATGTTTTTTTATTTTAGCCATCTGACTGGTATGAGGTGGTATCTCACTGTGGTTTGGATTTGCATTTCCCTGATGATGAGGGATGTTGAGCATCTTTTCATGTGTCTGTTGGCTGTCTGGATGTCTTCTTTGGAGAAATGTCTGTTCATGGTTTCTATCTATTTCTAATTGGACTGTCTCTTGGGTATTGAGTTTTAGAAGTTCTTTATATATGTTGGATACTAACCCTTTATTGGATGTGTCATTTGCAAATATCTCTTACTATTCAGTTGTCTTTTTGTGTTTGTTGTTGTTGTTGTTGTCTTTTTGTTTTGTTGATTGTTTCCTTTGCTATGCAGAAGATTTTATTTTGATGTAATTCCAAAACTTAATTTTTGCTTTTGTTTCCCTTGCCTCAGGAGGCATATCTTAAAAAAACAAAAAATACATTGTTATGGCCAGTGTCAGAGAAGTTACTGCCTGTGTTCTCTTCTAGGACTTTTATGGTTTCGGGTCTCATATTTAGGTCCTTAATCCATTTTGAGTTTATTTTTGTGTGTAGTATAAGAAAGTGGTCCGGTTTTCCCAACACCATTTATTGAAGAGACCACTGCATATTCTTTTTCTCATTGCATGTTCTTGCCTCCTTTGTTGAAGATTAATTAAATAAACCCATAAGTATATATTTATTTCTGGGGTTTCTATTCTATTCTATTGATTTGTGTGTCTTTTTTCTGTGCCAGTAACATGCTGTTTTGATCACTACAGATTTATAACGTATCTTGAAATCTGGAATTGTGATTCCTCCAGCTTTGTCCTTCTTTTTCAAGATACTTTGGCTATTTGGGTCTTTGTGGTTTCATACAAATTTTAAGATTACTTGTTCTAGTTCTGTAAAAAATGTCATTGATATTTTGATAGGGAATGCATTAAATCTATAGATTGCTTGGAGGTAGTTTAGACATTTTAACAATATCTGTTATTCTAATCCGTGAGCATGTAATATCTTTCCATCTGTTTGTATCATCTTCAATTTCTTTCCTCAATGCTTTAAAATTTTCAGAGTACAGGCTTTCTACCTCCGTGGTTGAGCTTATTCCTAGGTATTTTATTATTTTTGGCATAATTACAAACAGAATTATTTTCTTAGTTTTTCTTTCTGCTGCTTCATTATTGGTGTATACAAATGCAACAGATTTCTATACACTGATTTTGTATACTACAATCTTACTGAATTCATTTATCAGCTCTAGCAGTTTTTTTGGCAGAGTCCTTAAGGTTTTCTATATATAGCATCATGTCATCTGCAAATACAGAAAGTTTTACTTCCTCCTTACCAATTTAGATGCCTTTTATTCCTTTTTCTTGTCTGACTGCTGTGGCTAGGACTTCCAGTACTATGTTGAATAAAAGTGTGAGAGTAATCCCTGTCTTGTTCCTGACCTTAGGGGAAAAGCTCTCAATTTTTCCCCACTGAGGATGATATTAGCTGTGGGTATTTCATATATGGCCTTTATTATGTTGAGGTATGTTCCTTCTCAATCTACTTTGTTGAGGGCTTTTATCATGAATAGATGTTGTGCTTTGTCAAATGCTTTTTCTGCATCTATTGAAATGATCATGTGGATTTATCCTTTTTCTTATTGATGTGATATGTTACATTGATTGATTTGTGAATACTGGACCACCCTTGCATCCCAGGACTAAATCACACTTGATTGTTGTGAATGATTTTTTTAATGTATTCTTGGATTCGGTTTGCTGGTATTTTGTTGAGGATTTTTGTATCTATGTTCATTAGAGATATTGGCCTGTAGTTCTCTTGATAATTATCTATTTTAAACCTAATTTCACCACAAATGTCAGGTTATGCTTTACAGACAAAAACAGAAACCCCGACAAGCTATCAAGATGGGAAAGGAGAGAGTTGCTCCTATGTTCTATGGTTTCTGGTGGAAATTAGTTCTTGGGAATTTTAAGTGCAGGATACTAAAAAACCTACAATCAATTGCATTTATAAGTCACAAAATATAGCTAGGATTACACCTTTAAAATTAAAAGAGTAGGAAAACAAAAAGAAAAGATTGAAAGTCTCCTGAAATCAAAAAAGCAAAACAAAGTTCTGTCATTCCTTTCATTCCTAACAAGAATGTGACCAGGTCCACAGTGTCTAAAGAATAAGTAACAGTAAGCACCAAAGAAATGACACTTGGCACCTGCTTTGGGACAAGGTGGCCAAGGTCACAGTGGCCCATACTACTACTGACCACAGGTGCACATAAGTTATACTTTAAGGGCATCTGTGAGCCATGGCAGTTCCTGGATCTGCTTCACTGAGACCCTGTGTGGAGAATCAACCAGAGGGGAGCTGCAAGGGACACAAGTGTTTTCCCAGAAGCATTTACAAACCCTGGTCAAATCAGAGTCTGTTCTAGGCGTGGGGGACACACACAGCCACTCTCCGGCTGCTCCCACCTGGGACTCTTGCGGAGGCTGGGACCACCTGGGAGCTGAGCCAAGACTTCTGGGCTCCCAGAGAGTGTGCAGGGACACAGACACAGCAGGGCTCTGGTGCTTCCAGCACTGCAGAGACATGGTGATCCAGGGCCCTCAAAAACAGAGCCAGCCTCATCTTCAAAATATTAGAAGAGAGAAACTAGCAATCTATGTAAAGAATAACTCATTATGCCCACTTTGGATTTATTTCAGAAATTACAGGTTAGGGGCGCCTGGGTGGCTCAGTGGGTTAAAGCCTCTGCCTTTAGCTCAGGTCATGATCTCAGGGTCCTGGGATCAAGCCCCACATCAGGCTCTCTGCTCAGTGGGGAGCCTGCTTCCCCCTCTCTCTCTGCCTGCTTCTCTCCTACTTGTGATCACTCTCTGTCAAATAAATAAAATCTTTAATTAAAAAAAAAGAAATTACAGGTTAGTTTACTATTTGAAAATTAACTATACTAACAGAAAAAAGAACACATAATCATTTTGATAGAAAAAAGCACTGACAAAATTCAACAACCATTTGTTATTTTTTTCTTTTTAAAAAGATTTAATTTTTTATTTGACAGAGATCACAAGTAGGCAGAGAGGCAGGCGGGGGTAGGGGAAGCAGGCTCCCCGCTGAGCAAAGAGCCTGATGCGGGGCTCGATCCCAGGACTCTGGGATCATGACCTGAGCCAAAGGCAGAGGCTTTAACCCACTGAGCCACCCAGGTGCCCCTCATTTGTTATTTTTTTAAAAAGGAAAATTCTTAGGAGCTCCTGGGTGGAAATATACTTCTAAGGGAAAAATCAAGATGTGGACCAACAGCAAGCAGTATGACAGAGAAAAATGTTCTTACTGTGAATTTATTTTAATGTGCTTTAAAATTCAATTATTAACTGAAAATTAAGACCAACTTTGCTTCTTGCCTGAATACAGGGGAATGGCAATGTTATCTCTGTTGTATTTTCAAAAGAACACGTACCAAAGAGCTTCCCTTTTCGTTGTTGTATCTGTTCTGCAACAATGGGCTAAGCCTGCATTAACTTTCTGTAACCAAGTCCCTCTTTTTTTTTTTCCAAGATTTTTTATTTATTTATTTGACACACAGAGAGAGATCACAAGTAGGCAGAGAGGGAGAGAGGGGGAAGCAGGCTTCCCGCTGAGCAGAGAGCCCGATCAGGACTTGATCCCAGGACCCCGAGATCATGACCTGAGCCAAAAGCAGAGGCTTAACCCACTGAGCCACCCAGGCGCCCAACCAAACCCCTCTTAACGAAGTCTTATGCTTTGGATATGAAAAGCTCACTTACTTACCGCGGTCATCGAGGAGGATATTCTCAGGCTTTAAGTCTCTACAAAGGAAGAGACAACAACAAAAAGCTCAATTATTCAGAAGGCAACACTGATTCATCAGATTCAGAAGGCAACAATGATTCATTCACCCAGCAGAAATAACCACAGATGTCTCTACTATGAGCAGCACCGAGAACGAGGGATAACAAAACCGTCCTTTGTGGGTCAAGTCATGAGTCCTTCATGCCATCCCTGGGAAGGACGAGGATGCCACAGAGGTTTCATCCCAGCCAACAGCATGCACATGACAACCGTGTGCTCCGCCCAGGTCCATGGATCTGAGACAGTTCAGTGATAAAAGGTACAGCCCCGTAGTAACGAATTAGTCCTTAATGAATTTGATTCAATTTATTTTATCATTCATACACTTTTTAAAATGTCAACAACTGAAAATTTCCCATACCAGGAAGAACTCAGCTTTGGGGGGTCAGATGGGCACAGATTCAAATCCTAGCTCTGCTGCTCTTCCTCCGTGTGACCTGAACCACTCTAGGCTTCAGTGTCCTCCCCTGTACAGGGGCGTGATCCACACCCACCCACTTCCTCATCGAGGCAGGGCTGGGGGAGCTCAGACTTGCAGCAGGAAGCCTGTGATCAACAGCCGGGACTGTTCGAAGTTTATTGTGAAGGAGGGATACCACAGACTTCAAATAAATACAGGTCACAAGGGGTGTCTGGGTGGCTCAGATAGTTAAGTAGCTGCCTTTGGCTTTAGGTCATGATCTCAGGGTCTGGGATCGAGCCCTGCATTGGACTCCCTGCCCAGCAGGGAGTCTATTTCTCTCTCCCCCTTTGCTGCTTCTCCTGCTTGTGCTCTCGCTATCAAATAAATAAAATAAAATAAAAAATACAGGTCACTAAAGACTATAATATCGTAAATGTAATATTCCAAACTGCTTATTTGTTTCTTCCCTTTGGAAGAAAAAAATTTACTTTTCAGAGGACTTAGATTTAATTGTGGTTTCAACACTCTGTCTCCCCTGAGCGTTGCCCCTCCCTCTGTGGCCAGATTACTAGAACCTCCGCGCAAGAGCAAGAGAAGATGGAAGGCGGCTGGACTCGGGAGAGCTGTGTAAAGAGCCAGAGGCAGGAGCTACCTGAAGTGAGCCCTTCCAGAGGCCACAGCTAGTGTAAAACCTGCTCAGGCCCAAACCCACATCCCCAGGAAAAGATGAGAAGCAAGCCTGGCAGCTGAGGGACATGTGAACACAGCCTGAGTGGCAGCTGAGAAACCTTCCTGTAGGGATAGCCATGCCACTGCTGTCATGGTCCCCTTGGGGGAGAGGAGCCACGGCCGAGGGGCAGGTGGCTTCTGTGTTTGCACCTTCGAGCCACGCACATGTGCTCCTGCACCATCTGGGTGGGATGGAAAGTATTTTTGCTTTTCCCTTTATTCTTTTCTGTATTAAAAAAAATCCTTATAAATGTTATTAAGAACGAAGTAGCCTTCCTTAACCTGGAACCGCCAGAAACTCCTCGCTTATGTAGGCTGATGCTCAACATTAACACAGCAGCTGCCCCCCAAATTACGTAAACGTCTCCTGGGATGTCCTGCACCTCCCTGGTCCAAGCGTGGGCCAGCCGTCCACTGAGCTGTCCCCATGCACTGTGCGTCAGCGGGCTCTGAAAGGAAGTGTGTTGTAACAGCCTCAGCAGGAATGATGCTACTGAAAAATCTAATGTGATAGCAATAATCTCTACAGTCTAATGGCTGGTATGGGCCAATTCACTACTGAAAAAGTATAGGTACAAAATGTTTCTTTCCCACCGCTATTCTGCACTGCCTTCTTCTTACGGTGGATGATATCATCTACTTTTCATTCCACAGCTCATTCACTAGAAAAAGAGATCCAATGCACAGCTAAACACCCATTTCCCTTAAGAATTTCCAACTACAGCCTTCCAGACAGGTAGAAATGTCATCCTGTTGAATTAAGGAAGAGCTCTTGAGAAATGTAACAACATAATGAAACTGCCAAGTCAAGATTCAGGTTCTCCCTCCTGTTATGGAAAACGGTGAGGGGCCCAAGCACAGAACACAAGACCTGGATCAGTATCCATCACTCACAAGGAAGGTGACCAGAGATGATCTCTCTTATCTGTAAATAGATATGATTTCTAAAAAGACTGTCAGGTCGCTGCGATGAAAATGTGTGCCAGAGTGCTCTATATCTTGTGACCATATCCAGCAGCATTTTTGTTATTTATATGATAGTGGGGGGTTTTATTCAAATACGGAGCTACATGGAAACAAAGTAAAAGGGCACATACCACAAGTTTAATTTGTTCATCATCATAAAATAAATCTCTAGGGGCCAGCTGGGTGGCTCAGCCCTTAAGTGGCTGCCTTCTGCTCAGGTCATGATCCTGGGGTCCTGGGATCAAGCCCCGCATCAGGCTCCCTGCTCGGTGGGAAGCCTACTTCTCCCTCTCCCACTCCCCCTGCTTGTGTTCCCCCTCTCGCTGTCTCTCTCTCTGTCAAATAAATAAATAAAATGTTTTTTAAAAATAAAATAAAACTCTAGAAATCTTCCTGATTGAACAAGTACTTTTAGTGTTGTGAAAATTAATAAAAGGGAACTTTGTTTAGAACGGAGTCTGGAGGCGGGCGGGGGAACTCCCACCCTACACTCTGGGTCAACCGGGGATCCAACAGGAAGACATGCACCTTACACCTGCTATTACCTTAGCTACCACTTTACTATTCCAGCAGGATGGAGGAAGGTTTCCTTCTCCCCCAGCAACAGCCCAGCCAATGAGAGACTGCTACAGCTCAGCCAATGAATGACTGCCACACAGCCAGCCAATGAGACACTGCCACAGCCCAGCCAATGAGAGATCATCACAGCTCAGACAGTGAGAGACTGCCATAGATCAGCCAATGAGAGGCCACCACACTTCCAGCTCTGAATTTACCCCAATGGACTTTCTGTTTGTAATAGCCCACCCCAACCCCCTTCCTCTATAAAAAAGCCCCCCCTCCTTTGTTCTGCAGACTCTCCTGTGGTTTTGCTAAATTTGAATTTTCCAGAATGCACTTCTCTGCTATTCCTGAATAAACCTATTTTTGCTGGGGAAATAAGGGCAGTTTTACTTTAAAGTTAACAGTTGTGAGCATTTGAATACTGCTCTCTCAGCTCGTGTGGGCATCAGTGCAGGGTAGATTCAGGACCTCTATTGTCTCCAGGAACACACTGCAGAAAACCGGGGCCATAATACATTACTCCAAACACATCCTCTCCTGAAGCAACAGATTGCATCCTTCCTCCCCTAAGTAAGCAAGAGGCAAGGAGCTTCTGTTCTAAATAATTTTCTATCTTAAGAGAAGAAAGCTCTTCCCAGAAGATGACCTAACCCTTCGGAAGCATCCATACCAGCTCCCTGCATAATGCCCCTCCTTCATAGCAGAGTTGTTTCTTGATTCTGTTGGCTCACTCCTGACCCACATGAGTAGAGTGTAGAGTGTCCAGATCCACTGGGAGCTGCTGAAAGATGCCATGATTGTCAAGGACAATGACAGCTAACTCCCAGCCATAACAGTGAGGGAGCATGGAGGGCCACTTTCCGGATAAGTGCATTATCTTTCAGCATTTAAAAAAAACCACAGTAGCCTGGATTCCACAATCACTGTAGTGTTAGCCCTGGCGGTTTTCCTTTTTGTGTAATGCCAGTGTTTGACTCCAGCTCTGGTGCCTGAGGTATCCACTTCAAAGATGTCTCTCTCAATAAACACACTGATGGCCGCCTGGCTGGAAAAACCAGACCACCCCCATCCCAGGCTCCTCTGTTTTAGAAATCTTGGTTTATTTAAATAATTGACCATTTGGGTGGCTTGGTTTTTTTTCTCTTCTAATGTTTTAAGTTCCCATTCTTATGTTTTAAAATCATCGATAAAGAGTGAGACTATGGGGGCGCCTGGGTGGCTCAGTGGGTTAAGCCTCTGCCTTCGGCTCAGGTCATGGTCCCAGGATCCTGGGATCGAGCCCCACATTGGGCTCTCTGCTCAGCAGGGAGCCTGCTTCCCCTCCTCTCTCTCTGTCTGCCTCTCTGCCTACTTGTGATTTCTGTCTGTCAAATAAATAAATAAAATATTTTAAAAAAATAAAAAAAAATTAAAAAAAAAAGAGTGAGACTATGAGACTCTAGGCCCCCATGTTCGCCCCCAATAACTGCAAAACCCTAGGCCCACATGCTCAGGTGTTCCCTCTCCCCCACCCCTGCACGTCCAGACCTCTCTGTGTGGTCCCAGGTACTGCACAGAATTGCCAGAAGAAATTAGAAGAAATAGCCTTTTTCTCTTTCAAAGTTTCTTGATGGCTACTGCTGCATCTTGTAGTTATATAATAAGGATCACAAGGGCTGGTCCAGCCATAAGACTGGCTGTTGATGGGCTGAAACTAGCATAGAACACTGGATTTATTGGCAAGAATACACAGTAAAGCTTTCACTGCAGAGAAATGTCTTGAGAAGATTCTGGATCACAAATCAAGACAAAGCAAAACTGATGCAATGATTAAGGTAGGTATCAAAATTCAACTCTCAATCTGAGAACCAGCTTTGTAACCCAAATAATCTACATAAAAGAAAAACATAAAACAAAATCAAACCCAAGTGAGAGAAAAATAACTGAAGACCTTATTATCCACTAAATATCTGAACTTGGTATCAGCTAAAAATTACAACCTCCACGTTCTAAAATATAAAAGAATTACAATATTAAGCCTGATCCTCTAGTCTGCAAACTTGAGATTTTGACTCTGACAGTGACACGGAGGACACTTGATGGGAGGGAAGGGACAGATCTGACCTCAGTGACATTATTCTCAAATAGTCTTTTCTCTGTATTCACTGTATATAAATGTACACAGCATTCATCAGGCTGGTTTTTAGTTACTGTTTTTTCTAGTCTGCTTCAGAAGACTCAGGCGGGCGCACTGATTCAAGCTTTTGTATGTCTATCCAAAATTTCCCTCTCATGAAGTACCAAGAGAAGCAGCAG